GTTACCAATAGGCTTCTTTTTATCAAAGACGCCCAAGGGTTCACATGGCCCCATGTCTGATTTAATATCAAGTAAACTTTAATAGTAAGTATTACAAGTTTCCTCCCTGTAATACAACCTGACAAGTGGCTCCTGTAGACATTACAGCAGCGACCTTTGGTGGTGCTGGCCTCGTGTCCTCCTCTGGGTGTGGGAGATGTTTGTTTCTGGCTTTCCCGCTGCTCATGTAGAGATTGCACGACCCCCCCCAAGATTACTCTAGACATGCTGCTAATGGCCATGTCCTACCCTGCTGTAACCCTTTAAGTGCCGCTGCTCACTAGGCTTCATGCAGCTCCACTGAGCCCAGCTCTGAAACATGGAAGGGATCCAGCTGCATGAACCCCCTGAATCCTGCCCCCTCCTTTGCAGGCAGAGCCACATCTGTTAGATTATCTACTGGGCCTTCTGGGCTGTTGGAGGGGGTGCAGGATTTGACCCTTGAGCAGCAATAACTTGCTATGAGCAGCTATATGCACCTCATTGGCCATGTTATAAATAAGTCCCCGGATTCCCAAGGACACAGGACTCTTGTGATGGTGAGTGGGGTCCATCTCTTACTAGAAAGAGCTCAAAAATGTTCACAGCTGACATATATCCTGACCATTCTGGCCCCCGATTATGGTTACAGGCTCATGGATATATCTCAACCTCTACCAGGTATCTGTGTCTTGGCTCTTTACAATGGGTTGTCCTAATCATGCGCTCTGCGAGTCACGCGCAGAACAGATGCCATGGTATATATTGAGCCCTGAGGCTGCTGTCTCACTAATCTTTTCCATTCGGTGAAAGGGGAACATCCAGCCATCTGTGCGGCGCTAGAGATGATGAGCCAGGTACTCAGTCGGTGTAAATGGGCATAACTCTTTACAAGTCAACGGATATACACTGATTTACACCAGCTGAGGTGCTAACCCTTTGTATTTAAGTTTTAAAAATATTTACAGGCTTCTTCAAATAATTTCTATTATCAGAACTGAAAAGTCTGTCCTGCTGGGTCAATTGTGAATTGGATGCAGGTGGCGGTGGTCATTACAGTAACATGACTACATTCATGCAGATGGGATTTGAGTATCCATGATGACAATGCATGCCAGCCCTGAGATCAGCTGCTTCCAGGAGGAATCTATGCAGGAGAAACCTGGCTGGTGGACACCGAGGAGGTCTCCGTCTTGCTACCAGTAGTAGTTTCATCATCACCAAGTGGGTTCTTCCCGCAGCAGAGGGTGGTGATCATGCAGTTACGGAACTGGAAGAGAGGACAAAGTCAGGAGAAGTGACTTACTGGGGTGCCCAGGGTGACAAAAGTCAACTAATCAGATTCACTGAGAACTCTCTATTTACATCAAATGGGTCAGTGGCTTACCCAAAGAGATTCCTGTGTGCGTGTGCTCTTGCACGTGCGTGTGCATGGAAGTGAGCTCTAAGTAAAGAAGAGCCTCAAAGACTGACCCAAGACTGACTACTAAAATGTCCTTTAAAAAATCAGTCCACTCTGAGAAGAACCAATTTAAAAGCTTCTCATTCTTTTTAGTGTGATTTGTGAATCCTCATTTGAATAGGGCTTTTGCAGTAAAAGCAGTTTCTGCTGTGAATGAGGCAGGAGTGATCTGACCTTTCGAAGGACCACAATTTGTTAACAGCTCAAAACCTGACAAAAGAGCAGTGGAGGTACAATTGCCGGCGCTCACATGCAGTGAGCAGCCCTTTGTCTCCCACTGTTATATTCATGTCCCTTTCACCATCCATGGGAGTCATTAGTTGGAATGCTCTTGCAAAAGGTTAAAGTTAATAATGAGATAGTGGTAGAAAACCTACTTTGTTTCACAACTAAATAGCTGTTCTACAAGTGAAAATGTATTCTCGTCAAGTATTCTAGTGTTCTGAAAGTAAAAGCAATCCCTTCCTTCCTTTCTTTTAATCTAGGGTAACAGGATAGGCAATGGTAGCCATTAAAAATCAACCTTTGCTAGCATGGAAACATATCTCTGGTACCACAGCGACATCCCATTATAAGCAGAGTGAAATGCTGCCCTATCTCCAGTACCGCTGAGAGTAAATGCTGATTTTTAAATAGTGAGCATGACATGCTGCACCTTTTGCTAATACAAGCGTAGGCTAACCTCATGCTTTTGGGGCAGGGGATGATGAAGCCAGGGTGTGAAAGAAATGTTTGTTCCTGATGTAGGGTGGCAGTGATGGCAAAGGAGGGAAGTTGCTTTAAGTGTCACTGGCAGAGGTAAGACTCTACATGTGATGGACTGATGGGTCATCCAATGTGCCAAATCTTATCTTCTGCACACTTCTCGTTCCTTAAAACTAGCTACAACTCTGATTCAGGATTATCCTAACTTTCCTAGCGAAGCCAGTGTGGCTGAGAGCAGAACAGAGGCCTAGATACTTAGTTAAATCTTAAGTGGTTGGATCATTTCAAGCAGACCAGCTTGACAACTTCGACATCTGTGTAATACCAAAGGATAGTGGGATAATTAATAGAGTCATCCCTATACATTATAGGAACACATTTGACTTTAAAAGTTCCTTTCATGCCACATTAACCTTTAAATCTATGAGCAAGGTTCAAGCTTTTAAGAAATGAAATAAATTGAAGAAAAAACTGCCCTTGTTAATTACCTGCTTGTTCATGACAATGTAGATCACTGGGTTGTAGATGGCAGAGCTCTTGGCAAAAAATGCCGGGATGGTCATGAAGACAGGGCCAAAGTCAGATCCCTGATTGCAAAAGATGTAGAAAGCAACGCTGGCATAGGGGACCCAGCATATCAGGAAAGAAACGACCATGATGATGACCATGCGGGTAACTTCTTTCTCAGCTTTCTGGGTAGTAGCTGATTCCTGCTGCTGGGCTGCAGCCTAAGGCAAAAGAACAAAGAAATTATGACGGCTCCATGGGAGAGTGTTGGGGGAAAAAAGGGCTGGAACGGCGTCTCCTCCCATGACAGGGATGGAGCCAGCTGCGGAGTTCCAAGCTGCATCTGAGCTTTCCAGAAATCTGGCATTAGCATTCAGATGCAGTTTTTGATGGCAGTCTGTCGCCAGCAGGTCAACCTACCTCTTTCACAGTGCAGACCAGGCGTCCATAGCAGAAGAAAATGACAATCAATGGAATGGTGAAGTGAACTATGAACATGTAGACCACAAAGGATTCATTATTGACCTCAGGCTTCAGGGTGTAGTAATCAACCCCGCATGAGCACTGCATGCCCTCTGGGATGTACCTGCCATTAAACCAACGACATTAGTACCTGGCATTGCACTGGTGCCACTGGGGAATCAGGTTGTGCAATTTTAGAACGGAAAAATGCTGTCCTAGATGATGCCTTATTTCAGAAAATGTATAAGCCTACCTGGACCATCCGACCAGTGGGGGAGCAGCACAAGATAGGGCCATGATCCACGTGAAAATGACACCCATAATGGCATGGTTCTCACCAAATCGGAAATTGCTCATGGGCTTGCAGACCACTATATATCTTTCAATGGCCAGGACTACCAGGCACCACAGAGCCACTTCACCTGTGAGGGAGACACACACACATATTCATATACTGCTTGCAACAGAAGAAAAACGTGTTGCCCTGTATGTGAAAGCTTCTTGGATAATGGATTCTAAACAAGTCTCTGAATGATCAAAGAATGCAAGTAAGATTTGAATGTGAAAAAAAATCTGAATTAAAGTATGGGAAGGAAGGCACAAATGGCTGACTAACCCACTGTACATTCATTTTGCTGCAATATTTTGAGTTCCACTGGAGCGCCCTATCTTATGTTTGAGTCCAACCTGTCCTCCCCACACTTGTTTTGCTACTTATTAACTCCATGGGCCTGACTGTGCTAGGAAATGCACGCTGAATTGACCACTCACTTGTTTCTGCCCTCTGTCCAGCATATCTCAGGTTTGGGAACAACATTAGTAGGATATTTTAAAGCTCACAGTGAGCTGGAAATTGAGTCTACGTCTTTATTACCTTCTACCCAGAGGTAAACAAAGGCAGAGAGGCTGTTGTCAAGATGTTGGGAGGTTTTTTGTGTTTTGGTATACATTTTAGAACTCATCTACCTTAGAAGACTCTCTGGTAACCAAAGAACTAGTTAGATGGTGACCTGAGAAGACTTATATGCCCGAAGGCTGAACTGGATGCAGAAAAGAAAGGGTTTTAGACCTACCATTTCCTGTGAACAGCTATTTCAATCAATTGACACATGGGGAGAAGATGACTTTTAAAGGCTAAGTCTATTCCTTCAATGTAAGTATGGGGATCTACAGTAGAGTACCTTGGGACCTTTCTGAAATTCTTCCAGCAAAACCAGGGAAGACCAGGCTTGCCAATTCCAAGGTTAAAAGTGGGCATAAAGCCAGCGTTTGGAATACTGTTCCAGGTCATGTTTCAATACCACAGTCCCGTTTCAACCATCTTCAGCCACTAGGTTTTCCCCAAAGCAGTAAAGGAAGATGGCAAACATCATGTGTTCTTTGTCCCCCCACACTTCTTGTCTGAAATATAACTTTTCTACTACACTGAAAGCCAAACATACAGCCTGAAAATATAAATTCCAAGTGCCTCCAGGTCTCGGTGATGCATTGAAAGCCATTTTTTGCTGCCTTCCTGTCTTCCCCACTGCCCCTCTGCCTGACCCTGGCTTCTCCTTCCTACAAGTTCAAGGGAACTCCAACAGAACATATTTGACTATTTACTCAGTTAGTAAACTTACCACCAAGAGTAGCAAAGAAGCCTTCAAAGTAGCAACCTGTTACCCCAAAGACAAAGTACCCATTCATTGAGGTGTACAGGGTAGTGGTGAAGCCTCCCAAAACCATGAAGAGATCAGCAACTGCCAGGTTCAAAAGGATGTAGTTTAGGGGCGAACGGAGCTTCTTGTGTTGGATGGTGACATACAGAGTCAGGAAGTTGATAGGGAAGCCAAGAACAATCAGCATAAACATGTAAGCGGCCAGCGCAGAGTATTTCCATGGTTCAGCCAGGTAGTATTGCGGATACTCAAACGGACTCCGTACTACCCCAGTCTTGTTGGAAAGGGGGATATAGAAATCTGGACCTTCTGTTCCATTCATGGCTGCGGCTTCCGAGGTGTTATGGTCTTACAAATATGTTTTGCTTTCTTTCAAGGTCTCCTCTTCCTGCTCTCCTCCTATCTCTGCTTCTTCCTCAAACTTGCAGAAGCTGGCAACACTTGTTGTCAGTGCAGTGCCCTTTATGAAGTACCACCTTGGGTAAGCTTTCAACATTGGTGTCAGCACGATTAGGACTTACAGCATTATTAATCATAATAATCCAAGCTAGGATTGCAAGTGGTAATTGGCTTTCCCAAGAAGGTTTAAGGTGACACCTGTTTCTGGGCTGTGCAGTGGTTACCAGGGAACATTGAACTCCTTATGTATAATATGCAGCTATTGTGTACACCATAGATGTGGAGCCAGCAAGGAAGCATAACCTCATTAGTTCTGTTCCCTATTTTGCAGCCTTACATAATTCACTTAGCGATAAATTTTCAAAACTGACCTCTAAATTTGGGGCTCTGCTTTTGGTGCCCCATTTGAGAGATGACCACCACAGATCATGCTGCCTTCCCTTGCACTGGTAGGTACCCAGCACTGCTGACAGCCAGATCCCAAGTGCCTCAAGCTGGGCACTCAGAAAAGTAAGCTACCCCACAAAGACTCCAGTATCAGGACCTGCTGCAGGCCTGGTTCACTATCTGTGCAATAGGGATAACACTTCTCTATTCCACAGGGATATTTTGAAGTTGAATTCTTTAATGGTTGTAAAGCAGCCCCAGAACTATAGGTAGAAGGACAAAGTATAGGTGTGTCTATGTAGTGGCTTGATTTTTTTTTAACTATATTGTCCAGTATCTGAATTGTAGCCTCTCGAAGACAGGTGGCAGGGATGAGCTGTGAGCCCACGTCTGGGTACAGGAGCTCCTTTCTGTCCCCTTCCTTTAAGGAATGTGTTACTATAATCTAACACCCCAGCTTTGTATGCAGCAGGTTGAGGGACCTGGTATGGAGAATTGCAGCCTTTGGACCCTGGGTCATATACTGTAGGTTGGCCCAAGACCATTGTTACAATCTGAAGCTGGCCTAGGTTACATGCGAAACAAACAGGTGGTCCCACTGGTTGCTGCCACAACTGGTAAACCAGGTAGAGCCTGAGCAGGACAGAGGTCAAGGACTGAATGACTTCTGTAAAGACTTCTGTCACCATGCTCCCAACTCTTGCCCATAAGTGCCACAGACCCTTTTTGCCCTAGTATTTACCTGTGAGAGATACATTAACCCTCCTCCTCCTGTTGGGTCATCTTCTCTGCTCATCTATTTGCCATTTGTTCGGTGTCAACCATAACATCAACAGCTAACAAAGAGTCATGCTCATCTTCTCCCCCAAGATGTGTTCCCCCATACTGTTCAACACTGATGGGTACATTGGACAAGGCCGATACTAGGGTTGTGTTTAATCTGCAAGAAGACTGGAGCCTTAAAACTCTCAGGTTATCACTCTGGAACTTGTCCGAAGCATCCAGTTCAACTTATTAAATGGATAAGACAGGTATAGCTACAGGCAAAATGGCTGTTTGAAACTCCCATATGCTCTGAACTTCTTTGTTTCTTCTCTCAGTGTCCTCATCGTCACTTAAGTCATTGTTTGGAACGAAGATCACTGGCCCGTAGCTTGCAAGAAAATAGGACAGCAGGTATAATGGAATGAAAATATTGAAATCAGTAGCAAACTGTCCTATGGAGAAGGCAGTTTTCTTAAAAATGATACATCAGCCCTAGTCTTTTAAACCCCAAAGATTTTTTTCCCCTTTGCCCTTTTATTACATCTTGTGTTACTAGTTAAGAACTTTAAGGCATTTAAGTGCTGGGCAAGTATGAACTTATTCTCACATCTCCCCTGGGAACTGGGATAAAATAATCAACACCATTTTGAAGTGAAGGTTGAGAAGAGGTGCGACTACTTCAGGGTCTTGCAGTTGGTTGTCAGGTACAGTCAGAACACCAGGCAGTGCCTGGCCAGCTGTAGGCAGTATCTAGTCTCTTTGCTTCATACCACGCTGCTTTTGGGCTGGGTTACCATAGTATAGGCAGTCCCGTTAAGAAAAATGGACAAAGTTGTATGACAGCTGCAGCTACCCAATAAAATGATCAAAATCTTTTATTGGGATTCGGCTGAAACTTTACACAGGAGCATACAGAAGATAAGTCTTCAGCAAAGAACAACTCTGGAACACGTCAGTTTGAGAGATGAATGCTTCATAAGGTTTTGAGTGCTTGAAGACAGGATTTCATCACAAGAACCGCTATGGCTAACAAGAATATGGGAATACTGAGCCATTTATATATAATAGAGCACTTGAAAAAGTAGGACAATAGGCACTTTGAACTTTTGTACGGATGAAGGGACTATTAGTTTTAAACACACATTTTTATACAGTATGGTAACCTGAATAAAGACACCAAGGTTCTTGCTAGCACACTACCCACATCAAAACTCCAGCATAATTAACTTTTCACACGTGTTCCCAAGGCTACTTTCCAGCTGCACTGCAGTCATCTTAATTGCAAATGTAGCTGTTAGTACATATATCCAGGCATACAGTAGGCTTAAAGGTTTATCTTCCGGATACATAAATGTGTCACATTATGGCTTTGATGCAATAAGCCGTTGCTGAGGTAGCAACTGTTGTTCAGAGCTTAGCGCTTGAAGTGCATCACAGGTAGCAAGGTTCAGTGGAACAGGCAAGCAATAGGGTAAAGAAAGTATGGAACAAATTTCAAGATGTGGTTTATGCTGTTATCCACACTATAGTGGCTGGCAGAAGGCAAAGCAGGAGTCATCTATGGTGGCAGTCTTTAAGCTTCACCAGACACCTCCAACAGTACCCTCTTACCATGAAGTTATGTAAGAACAGCTTCAATGTCAAAGGACAGTTTGAAATGATCAAAATCTTTAAAAAAAAAAAATCACCAGATATTATTACAACTCCATGGTCACATCTTGGCGTATTTTTATATACCATCTTTCTTCCCTATGGAGCCAAAGGAAAGGAGTTCAGGATCCTGAGGAGAGGAAGGATGGAGAGCAGCAGAGTAAGGACCCTGGACTTCAGAAAAGCAGACTTCGACTCACTCAGCGAAGTCATGGGCAGGATCCCTTCGGAAGCCGGTCTGAGGGGGAGAGGAGTCCAGGAGAGCTGGCTCTACTTCAAAGAAGCCTTACTGAGAGAGTAGGAACAAACCATCCCAATGCGAAGCAAGACAAGCAAGGATGGCAGAAGACCAGCTTGGCTTAGCAGGGAACTCTTCAGTAAACTAAATCACAAAAAGGAAGCTTGGACAAATAACTAGGGAAGAATATAAGAGCATTGCTTGGGCATGCAGGGATGAAGTCAGGAAGGCCAAAGCACACTTGGAGAAGGGTAACAAGAAGGGTTTCTTCAAGTATGTCTGTAGCAAGAGGAGGATCAAAGAAAGTGTGAGTTCCTTATTGAATGGGGAGGCAACCCTGTGACAGAGGATGAAGAAAAGGCTGAAGTGCTCAATGCCTTTTTTTTGCCCCAGCCTTCACAGGCAAGGTCAGCTCCCAGACTCCTGCACCGGGCAGCACAGTTTGGGGAGGAGGTGAGCAGCGCTCAATGGTGAAAGAACAGGCTAGGGACTACTTAGAAAATCTGGATGTGTACAGATTCATGGGGCTGGATGGGATGCACCCAAGGGTGCTGAGGGAGCTGGCTAATGTGATTACAGAGCCATGAGCCATCATCTTTGAAAACTCATGGCAATCAGGAGAGGTCCCGGATGATTGGAAAAAGGCAAACACAGTGCCCATATTTAAGAAAGGGAAAAGGAGGATCCAGGGAACTACAGAGCAGTCAGCCTCACCTCAGCCCATGGAAAAATCATGGAGCAAATCCTCAAGGAATCCATTTCTGTACTTGGAGGATAAAAAGGTTAGGTTAGATTAGGAACAGTCAGCATGGATTCACCAGGGACAAGCCATGCCTGACCAACCCGATTGCCTTCTATGACGAGGTGACTGGCTCCATGGAAGTGGGGAGACCATCGGATGTGATGTACCTTGATTCTAGCAAGGCTTTTGATATGGTCTCCCACAATATTCTTGCAGGCAAGCTAAGGAAGCCTGGACTGGATGAATGGGCTGTAAGGTGGATAGAAAACTGGCTGGAGCATCAGGCTCAGAGAGCAGTAATCAATGGATCAACCTCTAGTTGGCAGCCGGTATCAAGCGGAGTGCCCCAGGGGATGGTCCTGGGCCTGGTTTTGTTTGGTGTCTTCATCAACGACCTGGGAGATGGCATAGAGAGCACCCACAGCAGGTTTGCAGATGACACCACACTGCAGGGAGTAGTAGATACACTGGAGCGTAGGGCAAGGATTCAGAGTGACCTAGACAAATTGGAGGATTGGACCAAAAGGGCCATGCGGTTCAACAAGAACAAGCAGGAAGTCCTGCATTTAGGACAGAACAATCTCATGCACCAGTACAGGCTGGGGGCTGACTGGCTGGGCAGCAGCTCTGCAGAAAAGGGCCTGGGGGTTACAGTGGACAATAAGCTGAATATGAGCTAGC